AGAGGCTTTAACTTTCTCAGTAGAGACTAAAACCAAAGAAAGGGCTGATGACAATACCCAAACCAAGACCTATTGCCACTATAGACGAAACCCAAGTTAACTTCTCAGTGATTCTTGGCCCCTTCTCTTTCAATACTTCACTACAAGACCCAATAAACGCTGTGTAACTCCCCATCGCCACCACCGTACCAACCAGAAACCTCATCAGAAACGCAGACCCGGCTAACCGAGACGGCAGTGCCAATGCAGGCAACACAATCATCAAGGCATCTGGTTGTAACCCATGAACCACTCGAGTTGCAATGTAGCAAACCCTATTTTCTTCTTCTTGGGAGGAATCAAGCCGTCTTTCTCTGATGTTACCATGCTGGTTTCTCAGGCCACACAAGGTACTACTTCGAAAACTTCTTTGATCCCCATTGCCCCAATGATGACAAAGTGTCAACCTCACGATTCTTGTACCCCAAGTTTGCAACACTTTGATGTGGAACCGGTCTTTGAGTAGAAGAAACAGTAAACCGAAGATGACTTGACCTGACCAGCGTCGTGCCCACATCCCCAGAGAGCTCAAACAGCAGCACTCTCCATTTTGGTGTATCCGATCGAAAGGAGAGCTAGAGCAGCGAGGTGATCAAAATTTACAGATATTTTACCCAATCCTAATTAAAATTATAATTTCGAGTACTCAGACAGTTTCATGTGAAAAGCTGAATTACCTAGTATTCTTACGTTAATGACAAAAAGACAAGGAAAAGGCTTTTCTTACGTGTGCAGAAGTTAGATCTAACTTTTTTTTAACTTTTTCTTTCCTAACGTGGTGATTGAATGTATATTATAAGGTTTCAAAACCCATAGTATAAGTCTATTCCATCATACAGCTGTAGTATAAGTTTATTCCATCATACGGTATTTACATAAAAATATGTAAACACATGGTTATGCCAAAGGAAAAGCATAAGTCTATATGTCTGTTTGGGAATGTCAAATATTTCGCCGAACAGAGGAAAAGTAAAGTCACGAGATATGGATTCCACGACGTATCCACTTACCTACCTACAATCACATTAGTCATCGATTTTCTTTTTGAGTTTATTATACTGGAGGGATGTAATCAATTTGATTGAGTGTGAGAAGACGAATAACTACTATCAAGTTAGTTAAATCAAATGTTAATATCATGGTTAGTTACTAACTATAACTAATGAATTAGTTAGCTCTTGTTAATTTAGGAGCTCAGTTTTGTATCAAATAATATTCTTGGATCATGGAAATATACAGACATTACGTTTTTTATTCTTCGTATGACTGCAGAAAGTTATGCTAAGCTATGAAATCTTGTGCCACCATGTTTTCAGGAAAGAAGTCGTAGCCAGAACAAAATCAACGAGTGCATGCGTGTGAATTGAACTGGTCCTACAACAATTGTTGAAAATAATGGGCCGGCCCATGGGTCAATACGTAATCAACATAATTACACACTATCGTTTTTGTTACCTTTGAGTCAAGTAAAACCTACCCTGCCACAATATGGCGAATTGAGTTTAGACATATCTTTGTTAGGTTTACAGCTTTTCTAACCCATACTATAAGTAAGGCTGACTTGGGCCTTACACACGAACGACTAATCGGTAATTAAAAGACAAATGAACTCTATGGGTAGAGAATATCGACACGAAACTCATTACAAGGCTACAAAATACAGCAACTATTTTATCAACCCTATATCTATCTTATTAAAACATAAACATTACAACTTCTTTTAGGTGGACTTTAAGTTGGATCGCATATTATAATCTGTAGTCTAATTATGATATGATATTATTGTTAGTAGGATATCTAATAAAAGTATATTCTACGCCTATATTTCAAAACTTGGACATCAAAATCACATATTTATTACTACCGTGAATTTCTATAATGGTTTCTTAAATATTCTTAATCTGAATCACGTAAAAAATTACATATTCTATAACAACTAAATTTAGATATGTTCTATTTAAAAAATTTGATTCACCGATTCCTTTTCGATATATATTTACCTACAATATAAGTAACCATCAAATCCGATTAGTAATATCCTATATTAAATATATGTAAATAGTAATTAGAGGGATCCCACGCAATATATATTATATAGAAAACCCTAGAAATTTCTATCCATCTATAAATATCCAAGCCAAACTCATATAATCGACCATCAAGAAAAACTCAAATCTTTTTCGCCATGACTACGAATAACAGTGTTTCTTTACTCAAAAAAAAAATCTGCATTGAACTTTTATGATGTTATTTTTTGTGTTTTTGATTTAGAAAATTTATCTTATTTTAGAATGTTAATTTTATATATATATATATATATATATATGTACACTTTTTTTGTTTACTGATTCTGGTTTTGGTTTATGTACAGATGAACTATCCGTCTTTTGAAGCATATGATTTGTTCATCTTCGTTTTCTTTAGTTTTTTTCCTGTTAACTAAACATTTGTCATTTTTTGGATGAACTAAACATTTGTCTTTTATATAAATCTCAAGTAAATTCATTATCTTCACATTTCATATTTATTTTCTAAGTTAGATCTAACCATGATCATTTTAATGTCACAGATTTATTTCATTGGAATAGCTATGGAAAAAATAGTCGCTCCAAGAATCCAAAATATTTGATATCAACCTTTAAACACTGGATTGTATTGGTAAGTTTTCTTGACTTCTATTTTCAATTTAATAGTAATATGACGTAAACAACAAATAGACAAGATTCAATGTTTATTTGTTAAATATTTATATTTTTATCAAATATATATTTTACTTTTAAATATTTGTTATAGTACATGTCATTCAAAAATTTGTTGGAAAATCAACTAATGAGATATCTTCTCTCATAATTTCTTGTATTTAAAATTTAATTTTTACAGTATAATTTTATAGGTAAGATTTTTAAGTTAGATCTCACATAATTAATGTAATATTATATATATAATTAGTCTAATTATGATATTATATGATATTTCGCGGGTATCTATTCTTTAGGAAGTTACTGATATTTCGGTATCTTATAATTAATAAGAAGATAATTATATTTCACGTTTAGGAAGTTAGTCATATAGCCACATTCAACTATTAAATAACATTTAATTTAGATGTATACCTTCTTATTCTTTAGAAAAATCCCCAATATATGTTTTTTAATAGAAAATCTTGGTTACAATCAAAACTTTTGATTTGTTATTAATTATAAAGAAGAATTTCAATTTTTAACAAATAATTCTTATGTTTACTTCCAAAAAATTATAAATAAGAACCAAAAATGAATTTACTTGGATACAAAAAAAATATTTACTTAAAAGTAAAATACTAAAAGTTAATTATATATATAATATTTGGTTATATTATTACAAATTATGCTTGATGTTTTTACATTTAAAATTTTTATGGGTTGTTCTATGAGGTGTACACAATAATTATCAAATAAAAAATAAATTGAAAAAAATATTTGATCATTTTTATTATAACATATTAACATAAACATTAATCAACATGAAACAAATTAAAAGGATTAATTATACCTAATTTTAGTTTAAATATTTTAAAATAAACATAACCAGTTATATTATTTTGATTTTCATATGAAAATAATATCTGCACTTTGAATTATATGTCAAGGAAAGTTTCAATGATTTGGAATACATTTTGTGAAATATGTTTATGATAAAAATATTAAACTTTTACCCTCTAATTTAAACAGGGCGGGTTCATGTATAATGTTTCCCACTTGCGTGTCAAATTTTTGAATCAAAAATGATTCAATGCACAGCGGAGCGGGTCAACCCGCAAACCCAACAATAATTTATATTATGGTACATATAAAATACTATTAATTATATGATGACACGTATATGATATATAATATTGAAATGAAAAAATACATTCGTGTGAGCGTGCATGACAAAATCTAGTTAAAATTAAAGACGGCTGAGTGATGTTCAAAAAGATTTTAGATTTTTCCAACTAAAAGTGATATAAATGCAAATAGATATTTAAACACTCTTGATATATTACTGAAAGAATATTTTAATGCAATAAATATTTCTATGAATACTAAAATTAAAATATAACAGTACATGCAAGGATATCTGCATTGGAAACAATAAAAATCCTAACAACCAATATACATAAATGATAATAACAATAATAATAATAATAATAGTTATACATTTGTAGAATATATGGAAAGATATCTATCAGATTGGAAGGGAAATCTATCACAGCTGGCATTCATAACTATCTCAACTAAGAAACGTTGCAAGTTAAAAGTTATGATAGATACTATACCTTCTTTAGTTACAAGTTTATCCAGTAATGATGCACAAAATCTAACATTACAAAACTTAACAGTACAAACTAATAGCGTAATGTTATTGCGTTATTTATTGACAATATGAAGGGTGATTAAAAGATAGTACACCCTATAGTAGACCATATATCTATAACTAGATTATTACTATAGTCATAGGTAAGAGAGGATCTAGAAAACATAGGGTAGCACAGATCTGTCCAAACGGAGATCGAGAATCCATTGGAAGAAGGCTCAAGTGTCCACTGAAACATGTTTCTGTTTAGGAAAGCGTGAGAACTCAATCCTATGGCAGGCCAAACTGTGATGCTCCCCTTTTTTCATTAGAAAAAAATAAAAATGATAGTGCTCTCTTGTCACTGCACTATATTGATTGCTGAGCAACCCAATACTAACGTACAACTTCTCCCAATACGGGTGCTACCCACTCTACTCCCACCTCTTTTCTCCAAAACATTTTAAATTATTTTCACAATATTTTTTTTTGTCGATCAAATTATTATCTAGTTATTTTATGTAATTATTCGAGAAATATTTTACGTAAGCAAATTAATACTATGTCAGAATAAGGCCGTTTATATGGGAACGTTAACTAACTGTTGAAATTATATAGGAAAATATCTTTATATAAAAGAAAATTATGAATTATGTTTACCAAAATCCAGCTGGATTTCTTCTTTCCATTGGTAAACAAAAGAACAAAAAAGGGAAAATAAAAACCTAATCAGAATTTACTTCTTGATAACCTTTCCCTAGTCTTTTTTTTTTTTTATCAACACCTTTCCCTAGTCTAACTTTCCATTTTTTTCATCTAAACTTCTCGAAAACCACCAAATTACCCTGCCACGTCATCTTCCGGGGAAAGAACCTCTCCGATCACCGGTGACAAGTCTTTAATGGCATTTCTACCAATTTCCTCCGCAAAAATTCCAGAGAAAGAAAGGAAAAAAAAAACAGCTCTTCCGTTAGAAAAGAAAGGCCTCGATTCTATTCTTCTTGGGAGTAGTACACATGGGACAAACAACAAGACCGTCCTCACAACCCGTACAGCAACACAGATGCCTACACGGCAGAAACAGCACTCTTGTCTCACCATCAGACCCACAATTCCAGCAACAACCACCACTCATCTTCTCCCCCGGAAACCCATCTCCACCACAGCACGACCCTTCGTCCTCCGCTGCACCCGCCGCTTCGTTTTGACACGTGGCGGCGGCAGCTCTCTCCCGAGCCTGTTCCAACGTCGAGTTAAGCGTAGCGACCATTTCCTCGTTCTCACGAGCCATCCTCTGCCACGTTTGATTCTCCATTTCCATCTTCCTCAACAGATCTTCGAGCTCCATGTTCTTGCTCAACGCTCTTGACATCTCTTCCTCCTTACGCGTCATCAAAACCAAAGCTTTCGCTTCCATCTTCCTCAAGATCGTCTCCATCTCTTGCTTCCTCTGTTCTTGCAAAACGTAACTCAGCCTCTCGTTCTGTAAATAAAGATCAAAACTTTATCAATACCCACCCATGTCTTAAAAAAAAACCCAAATCTTTCGATGAGATGATGTGATTACGTACCTGGACTCTGATGAACTGGTCGATCTCTTGCTTCTGTCTCTCCATATAAGCGTCTAGAAAGCTCTGAGAACGATACGGTTGGTGTTGAGGATGAAACAGAGCATGTTGGTTATAATCTTTCTGCGACTGATCGATTCCGATTCCACCATTGTTGTTGATGAAAGACCCACTAGTACCGATTTGGTTCACGTTCGAGGCGTTGTAATGCAACTGCGCTTGTATCGCCATCTCTTTACCGGCCAAAACAGAGGATAAAAGCTTTTGTTTTTTTATTGAAGAAAGATGAAGCAGAGGAACAGAGAGAGAGAGAGAAGTAGAATCAATCTTCAATGCAATGCATGTAACCTCTACACAAGACCACCTTATAAATATATATATATATGTCGATTTCTATTTCTATTGATTAGAATCGGGAAAAAAAAAACAAAACAAAAGATAGAGAAAGAGAGACTTTGTTGGGTTAATATTTATCTGACACTGTTGATTATATATATATATAGGTAATTAAGTTTTTATAATTTCTTGTTTCTTTTTTTAAAGAAACGACGTACACATGCTGATTATGTGACTGAACTATCTTTAAAGGTCAGAGATTTTGCCAGAGCCGTTTTGTCTTTTATTTAGCTTTTTTAAAAATTGATTCTTTCTCGGCTTTTTCGATAATGTGAAAAAGATATAAGTCCAAGTGGAATTATTGCAGGGCACAGATTGTTTTCCTTTTTATTTCAAATTTAGTTTTCTGTGATTTTCTTTCTTTTTATTTATTGTTTACTCTGAATTGGTCAGTTGGGTCAGCTGGAACGCCTGAATAATATGATATTTTTCTATAATTTTACCACTATTTTCTGTCTTTTCTATTTATGAATTGATTGTAAAAATTCTTAGTCAAATGATGGCTTATTTACCCATATTTTCTTCTAGAAAAGGTTAAGCCATTGTATGGAAGAAAAAACAGCCATATAACACTATTGTTACGAATAATTGACGTTAAGTTTTTGTTGTGACCCACAACCATAGGCTTTGATGTAGATGTGCACAAGAACAAAATTGGGAAAAAAACAAAACTTAGATTTCTATTTATTTACACCTCATGATAATTACTCTAAAATTATTAATTTTATACAGATATAGTAGAATTTTATATAAATAGCTGTTATATTAACAAAACTGATGTCATTTGTATAAGTAAATCTAAATTCCAGAGACATTGACTTTTTATAAAATGTTTGGCTAATTTCTTATTAAAAATGTGGCAGATTTAAATTCATTATGTTATTCAATGAAATCATAACTCCAAAACACTTTAGTTGACCACTAATTTTTTCCTGGTCAGATATGGCTTGGCAATTTAAATTGAAATTAAAATCTCCTTTTTTTTGTAACACTAAAATCTCCTTTTCTTAGCCTGATTACGAAATATACGATGAATAAATGAACTCTTATAGAAATAAATACTATAAACAAACCTATTGGAACGTTATCTTTTGAGCACCATGGAATTTGAACATCGAAATTGAAGTCGTTGGTCTAACTAATCAACAATACTTAATGTTCCTACTTTTATATGACTGAATTGCCGGTTTCCTATGATTTAATGTTACAGTTTGATTGTGTTTACTTCGAAATGATGAAAGTTATAAAATTTCATGTAGGGACATAAATGTTATCAAATCTTAAAGATATTTCTCAAACTGACAAAAATGAAGATATCTTAATATTTTTTGCAACTTTTATAGTTATCTAACAATATTAAAAGTTCTAAAACTAGAGCAGGGAGAGTGTCCACGTCGTTTAAAAAAATCGTCTAATTATAATCTTTAAATGGCCATGTCATATCGTTCTTACCCAACACAAAATAATAGCACACCAATTCGTATGGACTGATAATATTTGGTTATGACCCGTTTTAAATCAGCCTAATTTTTTTTCAAGATACAATAGTTTGTAAAATGTGTGACCCTTCCACTTCGCCGTCATCTTTTCTAATTTCTACATATTGCCGTTTCTGGTGAGTTATTATGATCCATTCATACTCATTCAATCCCATTATTTCATTTGATCGTCTCAGACGGAGGAGAAAGATCAATGATAGTCCCAAATCTGGGAATAGTTTTTTTTCTCAGTCTCCTTTATATATTTTCCTCTGCTATGACTGATCTTTGATTTTTATGTTAAAGACGGAACTTACATTGCTTTCCACTATTAATACTGTGGAACTTCTGTCTATGATGACAAGTACGTGGTCAACTCTCTTTTGCTTAGCCTGCTAAAAGATGCTCTTTGTGGATTATAAACACACTTATTTCTTAAACTCAAAGTTTTATGGCAACATCTTCTTCTTACGACCTTGAATCTCAAGTGCTTCTGCTTTGTTTGAACAAGCAAGTTCCCTGGACTATGATCCAATAGCAACATCTGAACTAACATACAAACAACATCCCTTGAGATTGCAACCCCCTCATTGCTATTTCTGAGGAAAACCAAATTGGCAAGGTAACTTGATATTTATAATCATAATTATTGTTTGAGTAAATTTAGCTTTTGCTATTTACTTTTTTTTTACAGTTTGTTTATCCTCAGAAAATCCAAACGTTTTGGTTTCGCATGTGCAATCACTAACATTATTGTTGCCATCATTCCTTAATTGTTCTGCTTCGCTCAGGCACTATACTTAATTCATACTTTAAATGAAATTAGCAATGTTTGCATCATTTCAAAATGTTCGAAACTCTTTTTTCTTTCGGTGTATATGGACGTTGGTTGAGTGGAGAATGAAAACAATGAATGGCCAAATGAACTGAAGAATCTCTCCACTCTGTTCGTGATTGCAGCTATAGCAAGATTAGCTAGAAGAAACTTCGAAGAAATGGACTTACTAGCTTATGGTTTTGATGGTTGTAACCACGTCGAGCATTGCAAAAGGGTTCAATATGTATTGGGAAGTTTTCAAGGATTGGGTCTCATGAACCGCAAGAACAACAATTACAAGGAGAAGCATGGGATGATGAGTATGAAAATGATGACGATGATTATGCTGAAAAGTGGAGGAGGAGAGGAAATGATGGAAACAGTCGGCCAGTGGGTCATCTGGGTCGGTTAGTGAAAGATCCAAACTCTGGAAACGAGTTTGATGTTAATGAACTTCGAGACGAGGAAACTATTTCTCCTGCTAAGAAGAAACATTACTGTAGACATACAAAATCTTCGATTTAAGCAAATGGAAGGGTAATTTTAGTTTCTTTTTATTTTTCTTTTCATTTTGATTTTATCCTCACTATGTGTGTAACTCACATATTTTATTTTTCTACTTCATCATTCCAATCTGAACAGGAGGAATGTGTATATATGGGGGAAAAGAATAATATATCGGGGTGCATGGTTTCTTTTCCATGTAGGCTAACACCGAAAGCTGTTAAAAACTATAAACTGGTGTGTTACGCTAATCTCTAGCTTTATGAAATAAGATCTTTTTAACCACAATAATCTACTGTACAATATTATTGTTTATAACAAAGACTGGTTATAGATATGACAATGTATGAGAAAAACTTCTTTTAGGATGTTACATTGAGTTGTGTGTAGATGAATTATTGTAACTGAGTTGTGTGTAAATGAATTACTGTAACATTGAAACTTTTTAGCTTTGCCAAGTCATAGAGTTTGCAGTTATTCACATACAGTTGAACATATATTCATTGGTCATCTTCCTTCTATGGAGTATGGCCCTGTTCCGCGGTAATGCACGGCCGAGTTGTAATGGTAAAGTCGTGACGTCTCACGTTTTTTTTTTCAGGCCTTGAGTGGAGAAGTGTGTACACCTTTGCTTTAACACAAGCTCTAACTGCAGTATTTTGAAAAGAAAAGCTTCAGCTTTCAAACGCTTACCTGAATCAACTGATTAGGATGATTGTTTGATTGTGAAAACAAACATCATTTATCATATGTTTTTATTGTAGGATATTAAGATAATACAAGTTTAAAGAACGATTCATCTTTGATTACTTGGAAGTTAATCTAATCCTTTCTGACATATATTTACTCATCTAGCGTTCGTATACTCATATAGCTGCATCAAAATCGAAACTAAGAGTTGGAAGTACAGTTTGAAAAAATTAGAAAGACTGCAACAAATAGCAAAGAAGCAAATATGTAATTGTTGTTGGTTTGATTTACGCCAAGCCAACTATTATATTATTATTCATAATATACTAATTTGAAAGAATCAGAATGACTGCAACAAATAGATATACTAATTTTAAAATATTAATATTCATGACTAATATTTTTTTTTAAATAGAAATGAACTTAGTGATAAATATTATTATTATTTGCATGTATGGTCTTGATTGGTATAGTATTAGTATAAACATTATGCTCGACGTTATCCAATCAACATTTGTTAGAAAAGCATATTCCAAATGCTCTTTGATCAATATTATCATATGGAACTTTTAGTTGAGCATTTGCATTTTATAATTTATAAAAATAAGAAAATATATAATTTATTTATTTTCTTTTGATAATATCATAAAATTAATATTCTATTTATAATTATGTTTTAAATGTGAAATATTATCTTAATTTATATAATTACATTATATTTTAAATGTGAAATATTAGTTTTTAAAACAAATTATTTTTAAATATATTTTAACTGTAAATTTATTTTTTAAATAGTGTTTTGATATAAACATGATTTTTGATATTATTAAATAAAAGACTAATTATATATCTTTCTTAGTTTTATATATTACTATATATATATATTATAAATATATTATATACTAATTTTCATAATAATTTTAAATAACATGTCTATACTGCTCTACAAATCGCTCTATTAAACAGTTTAATAAAAACGTACAATTTCCGTAGCATATTGTTTTTGTAACATATTGTTACTGATTTATCATTCACTATAACAATCAAGGCTTATATCACATCATTTAAATATTTAAATAAAACTAATTATATATCTTTTAAATTTTATATATTAATATTAATATTATATATTGTATAATAATTTTAAATAACATGATCATCTACTCTACCTATCGTTCTATTAAAAAAATTAATAAAAGCATACAATTTTCACAGCATACTGTTTCTATAACATATTATTACTACTTTATCATCCACTATACATATCAAGGCCAAAGTCACATTATTAAAATATTTAATATTGATAATTATAATATATATAAATTTATTAGAATTAAAAAATGAAATATTAGTTATTATTTTTGTAATTCAAATTAATTTAATAAACTGAAATGAGTATGAAGGTTCAGATTTAGTTTATCATAAACCAAAAAACAGC